ATCGCAGTCTGAAGCCAGCCCCAGGCAAAAACTCAAGACCCTATCTGAAAAATAACTAAAGCAAAAATGACTGGGGGTGTGGCTCAAATGGTAGACTACTTGACTAGGAAGCATGAGGCCCTGATTTCAAAACCACAGTAACAGCTTGTTCTACAAAAATTTTAGGAATTTTTTTATAATACCTAAATTCCTTTTGAGAAAATTAGTCTATTGTTTTAATGCTAAAAATAAATGTTTCATGTATTTTTGGGTTTCGGTGGTATTGAACCAAAGTTTGGGGTTTGAATTTGGGGTCTCATGCTTGCTAAGCAGGTACTGTACCACTTGAACCATACCCTCAGCCCAAAGTTATTGTAAGTGGTAATAATAGTCTTGCCTAAAAGAAATAATTACCTATTTCCTCTCTCTCCTATTAGTGACCAAGAATTTAAGTGAGAAAAGATTAGCCAAATCATCTGAAATGTCTCCAGTACCTTTGAGGTCAGCTGGCCAAACAACTAAAGCCCACCTGCATCAGCCCCACAGGGTGAGCCAGGTGCTCCAGGTGCCAGCTGTTAACTTGCACCCCACCAGGAAGAAGGGACAAGCAAGAGACTCTGCACTGAGTGAGTATTCATGGTTAATATTCATTTCATTGAAATTTCTAGGGGAACGAGAGGGGTAAATAATCACAGATGCTCAGAAGATTAGCTGTTGTAGGTTGTGCAACATGACCATCCCTTTATGAGTTAAAAGAATGTTTCATTTTGCTGAAATCTGCTTATCAACAGAAGACATACAGCAATACATCTTGCCTATTTAGTTCAAATCTTAGGCAATACATCAAGGGATTACTGCATTCAAAGGTGTGTTAATCAAACATCTAATGCAGATGCGACCCACAAAAAGTGTGAGAATCAAGTTGCATATTATGAAAATGACTATACAATGTTCATTCATTAATGATCCCCTGCTAAAAACCTAGACAATAAAATGTAAAGAATATGACTATTTTCCTCTATGGGCTATGCAGACATTATCCAACTTCCTTTCATTTCTTGTTTTACCAGTATCACTACTGTTATGTGATACTGGATTGCATTTGGTTTCTATCTTTATTACTTGGTCTATGTATTATACCTAATACATATTGAATAGAGGTTTATAAACTTAATTAGATTTGATTTTAGATACAAAGTTCAGTAAGAAACGCTCCCTCTTTTGTCAGGTTTTCAATCCAGTGATGCAGACACTCACAGAAACAGATATCTCCTTTATTATGCATTTGCTATACCAAGAGTATATATAGACATGTAAAAGAACAAAGCAAGAGGGTTTTAGCAGAGGCAGAGATAAGTAGGCCTTCAGAAGGAGACTTTTTGAGCTGGGCACCGGTGCCTCATGCCTATAATCCTAGCTACTCAGGAGGCAAAGATCAGGAGGATCAAAGCCAGCCTGGGAAAATAGTTCATGAGACCCTATCTTGAAAAAAAAAACATCACAATAAGAGGCTGGTGGAGTGGTTCAAGGTGAAGGTCCTGAGTTCAAAGTCCAGTACAACAAAAAAAATTTTAAAAAGGCTTTTTGGAGATAACATAAGCAGAGCCTTAAAAGTTGATGCAGAAAGCCTAGTGCCAGCAGCTTAGGCCTGTCATCCTTGCTACTTTGGAGGCTGAGATCAGGAGGATTGTGGTTCAAGGCCATCCCAGACAAATAGTTGCTTAGACTCCAGCTCCAAAATAACCTGAGTAAAATGAGTTGGAGGTGTGGCTGAAGCAGTAGAGAGCCTGCTTTGCAAGTGGGAAGGCCTGAGTTTAAAGCCCAGACACACAAAAAAAAAAAAAAGTTGATGAAGGAAATAATTAAGCAAAGGTTTCAGAAAAGTTGCTTCAAGCAAAGGAAACAGCCTGGTATCTGCAAGGAGCTACAGGCACTTGCTGACTCACCACAGATTGCCTGTAGAGAATTGAGAAGCAAAAATAGTTGAAGCTAACATTTAGGACTTACTGAGTTCCAGACATGGTTCATAGTGCTCTCCTAACTCTATATTCATTGAGTATTCAGAATAACCATATAAGATGGTAGCACTTTACCTTCATTCTACAAAGAATCTGAGTAACTTAAACACTCCAGTAAGTGACCAAACTTAAGAGCTGAGCCCAGGCTGACTGCTTTTGACCAACATACTAACATCCTTCCCTTCCAGGGTACAGGAAGTAAAGTCATAAGTATGTCAGACTTGTAATGTGCTATGCTAAAGGAAAGTGGTCAGTGAGAAGCCATTAAAGACATTTGAAGCTGGGTACGGTGATACACAGCTATAATCTCTGCACTTGGAAAATGGAGGCAGGAGGATTGCAAGTTCAAAGCCAGTATTGGCTATTTGTAATAAGGAGATCCTGTCTCAACACCCTTCTCCCCCAAAAAAAGAGAGATTTGAACAAAGGAAAGTTATGGTGAAGATATGTTTGAGAAGGAGGGAGTGCAGCAAGTCCAGAGTTAGAAAGCCTGGATGGAAAGCAGCAGATATAACAGTTTATGGGAAGTTACTGAGGGGCTAGACTAGTTTGGTGGCTATGGAAAAAAAAGAATCGAATGCCAGGTTGATTGATTTCTTGGTAGGACTGAGAGAGAGACAAGTTTAGCTGTTGTTTCTTACTTGGGTATCATCACCTTTTTGATATTAACATCAGCAGTTCTGAGAGGCAGCACTGCTTGTACCAGCTAGCTTTCTAGCTAGTTTCTTTCCCCTTGTAATATGGCTGTTGTTTGTGGATAAATGTAATGTATTTACATTAAAACTGTATTCATGTAGTATAGATATGCTATGATTTAAATTTTTTCATTGTTGAAAGACTGCCTGTTACTATCCCAAATCCTCATCAAAGCTGTGCTCACTTTGCTGATTAAGAACTGTTTTGATAGCTCTGTGACATCTTACAGAAGACATACATAAAATGTCGGTATATTGAAGTCATTTCTAGAGTTTGACCAACACTTGAACAAGGCCAGATATTGGATTAAGGGTAATGACAGAATTTTGCAAGAATGTTTTTAGCAGGCTCCATACTATTTTTCTATAAATTCATGATTCTTTCTGTTGTTTACTTTTCTCCTGTAGTGTGAATTTAGTGCTCTTGAAAAGGGCTGGACTGGCAGCCCTCAGCCTCTTCTGTTTACCTGCAGCACAGGTAGTGACAGTGCTAACGTCCCACACTGCCCCTGCCATATGCCTTGCTCTGACTTGGAGAGGCCACCTCTAGAGGGGAGGGAAGAGTTTGAACCCATGTCTTCTCTCCTAAGATTGCAAACAAGTCTGTCGATTGGGAGAGAGGAGTACTGTACTTAAACTGTTAAAGTGGTTTCCCTTCTGCCACAAAACGAGCTATTTATTGTAATCTGGTGCATGCTGGCCAGCTGAATTTGAACAAATGAGCTAGAGGTGAGAATCTCTGTGTGCATTACCCAGTCATTTAGTCCCTGTTTGTCATTTTACACATTTCAGTTGACTACACTAGCCACTGTGCATCATGGCTTTAGTTATGTAGTGATTTGGGTAACTACATACGTTTCGACTGTAAGCTGAAGCTTCTTCACTTCTTGGTTTTCTTTTTAGGTGCATGTTTACCTCAGAAAGCTATAGGGCCAACTGAAGAAGTAAGTAGTAAGAAACATACAGAAGACGCAATTTCAGTGGCTTCATCTTTACATTCCAGTCCTCCCGCATCTCCTCAAGGCTCCCCTCGCAAAGGTAGGGCGAAATGTTTCAGGCTGGTTCTTGTTAGCCAAACAACAGTTTTCAGCTTTTTGGTCTATAAGCAAATAGTAGAAAGCATTCAGAAAAGTTAATACTTTTAACTTTTTAACTACTTTTAAACTACTTTTTAACTTCCGTATTCGTGGATTACTCAAATGCATCATGTAACTAGGCCTCCAGTATTCAGTGTGTCTTTGACAGAGAGCAAGCGCGAATAAAAATGAAGACAGAAGTCAGTTGTGTTAGTCTGTGCAGATTCTTGATGTTATCTCAAAGTTTTCTACATTTGAACATTTCTGTGGAGTACTCTCAAAAATTTCTACAAGAAATTATGGAGTGGCTCAGTATGTAGGCCCTGAATTCAAATCCCAGTACCGCCAAAAGAAAAATGAAATTCTTTCACCTGCATTTTCATAATTCAAACAGAAGCTTTTTTTTTAGCTAGCCTGGACAGTGTACATGAAGATTCCATTTTGTGTTGACAGCACAGGTGGCACTCTTAAGACGTGTGTGCACTCCACACTCTGGAGTGTGCGCTGGGATCTCCTTCATAGATATAAAAGAACTGTATCTTTCAATAACTACAACACAGGATGGTACATGGTCAGAGGGACAGGCTTCACTCCAACAGGAGAGCGAAGCCTCCAAAGCTTGCCTCAGCTCCCATGTTCCTTTGCCACCTGTGTTGTACTGTTGCATAGTAGTGTTGGGTCTGAGTTTGAATACTGACCCCATCCCTGCTTATATCTGTATTACTATACTTAACTTGTTTGTAAGGTCAGGAGGTTAACTTTTTGTAAGATAGGGAAAAGACAACCAATTTTAGGGCTCTCATATAAAAGTGGAATGAAGTAATATTTATAAACCTAGTATGTGGTAAGTAATTAGTAAATTAAAGTGTCTCTTTTCTTTCCCTATTGCCACCCAGGGCACCATAACTCCATTGCTAGCCTGCCCTTTCAACTCTCATATAATTGAGACTGGCTAGAATCTTCATTCAGATATTTACTAAGGAAAGCTTCATGAAAATCAAATAGCCAGGCTTGGTGGTGCATGCCTGTAATCTCAGCTCCTCAGGAGGTAGAGATCAGGAGAATCATGGTTTGAGGACAGCTTGGACTAAAGGTTGGTGAGACCCCCATCTCAACCAACATGCTTGGCGTGTCTATAATCTCTGCTAGGAGGCATAGGTAGGAGGCCAGTCCCTGAAAAAAAGACAAGACCCTATCTGAAAAGAAAAAAAAAAA